ATAGTAGCCAAGTGTGGTGGTACACTCCTGTAATCCTAGCACTCTGGAGGTAGAAGGATCACAGCTAGTTCAAGGCCAGCCTGGGCTACATTGTGTGATCCTGTCTCAAACCAAAGGAAAAAAAAAACCAAATATAAATTATTAAAGAAAGTTCTTAAGAAAAAAATAAAGTTATGATAAAAATATGCCACATACATGTATGAAAATACCACACTGAAACCTAATTGTGAAATTAAGAGGTGTTAATAAAAATATACTGTATTAAAGAAATAAAATCAATTTGAGAAGTCCTTGGGATCTTCCTTTACCAGCAATGCTAATAATGGGCATGAGGGTCCAGCTGCAAGAAGATGGACATGCTATAAAGTAGGCTGCTGCATGCTCCCTGCTGGGTCCTGCCAGTAAGGACAGTGCCTTGGTAAAGAGCAACAACATTCAGATAGTATTCTGACCTGAGTTCTCCAGGAAATCACTGGGGTCACTTGTGTCCTGGGGTATGACTGGGCAAAGGCTGGGTCTACACTGCAAGAGTGGCATGCTTGTACACTGCCACTGCATTCTAGAAGCATCTAAAGACAGCTGACACTTGCAGATTTGTAAAGTCAGAGACAAAGAATCTATGATGCTTTCTTAAATGGGTATGGACAGGAATGACCTCAAGTGCACATTGGGGAGCTGCCAAATCTCCCTCCAGATGCACATTCCCCCTGATTCTCTAATCTGGCAGGACAGAGGCAAAAGTGCTGGGGCCAGCTGACCCATTCCTTTGACCAATAGAAGCAGTGGAAAACCAGAAGAAAATACGTGGTTTCAAGCCCAGACTCTTCCTTTGTGGCTTCCGTGATATGGGCCCACAAACAAGACAAGAGTGATAACAGAATGGACAATGGCAGCCAAGTGTAAGAACAAGGTCTGCTGGTGTCTGATGGCTCTGAGGATGCTGGGTCCCACCTGCCACCCTCCCCCACTACCCCAGCTCCCTTCAATTCCCATCATCACAGCCAGGAGCCCAAACAGAGCCTTGGATCTAGGCCCATTCTTTACTGGAAATAACTAGCCTATTATAAACACTAATTATTATGAGCATAAGAAATGCAGCACAACACAAAAGCACTTTGTGAGAACCACCAAAAACTTCTTTATTACTAACCATAATGACACTAGTGAAAAGCACAGCCCATGTTTTCCTGACCAGACAAGTTTCCCTCTGGGCCCAGGTGATGAGGACCTTTCAGGGACTTCTTGCTGGAAGGCCTAAGAACAGGTCAAGGAAAGCTTCTCACCTCCAGGGTCTTCCAGAGCAGAGGGACATGTTTTGTCAAACCTGCACTCCCATAATGCACAACTGTTCATGACACAGGGACTTCAGGAGCTATGTAGCTTGCCATCATGGTTCTGTACCAGTCATGAGGGTGAAGCTTCTTCCCCAATTGACTAGGCTTGCTCCTCACTGGAATCCCCAGGAAGTCTCCGGGATAGCCATTGAGGGAAGAGGGGGTGGGCTGGAGATGGCAGAGGGTGGAGGCCACTTGTGCAATTCTACAGGAGGAGTGAAAAGATGAGGCCCCCTTCCTTCTAGATGGTGAAGAAAGAGGTTTAGGGATCATTATTCTAAGAATTATCAGGGAACTCTGCCCAGATTCCATGACACCCTGCCTCTTGGGGATATTATATTTAAGGTAAGCTTCAAACTTATGTGTAGCTACACCAGTCACTCTAGACCACAGTATGGAAACAGAGACCTTGCTGGCTCAAGGCCTGTCTGCATAGCACAGATACTATTTATACACATGTGGAGTTTGTTCTGGGACCCAGGTTTGTCACACATGAACTAACAGTAACGGCAAGCTCACCACTACAGCTAGCTCATTCTCAGAAGACTTTCAATGCTCACCCTTGTAGCACCACCAACAGTCTGATCTTCTTGTGGATGTAGGCTGACTGGCGGGCAGAACGGTTCTGTTGGGCCTCCAGGGCGCTGGAAAGGTATTTCTGAAAGTGTGCAGCATGAAAACATTCAGAGCTATCCATGATTTGGCGGTACACCATCCACCTGGAAAGAGAATATGTAATCTTAGCACGACGATCACTTGATGTCTTGGCCCTGTAATTCAGCCATGAATACAAATGTGACTAGGACTTCCAAAGACATTCTACCAACTGAATTTACACAGAAGGCAATCCTAGCACCATGTAAAAAGAAGAGGGTACTAGCTGGGTTTGGAGCCCTGTATCCTGAAACCACCATCACGGAGACATAAATGCCCCACTCAGTTAGCAAGAGTTGATTAGTAATCTGCTAGCCAGGAGAAGTAATGGACAAGTGATTTTCCCCACTTCACCAGGATCAGCATGGCCTCACTGCACCTGCACTCATGTGGCCCCTCTGTGGTGCATCTTGACTGACTTTTCCTGCTGACCAGCACACTCTCAGGTCTCTGCACTTGCTCATATTGGTACCATAATGCTATAGTGCAAATAGCACGTTTACTTCTTCTTTCTTCAGGTCTCTGCTCAAGAATGACATCTTTTCAGTAAGGTCTTCTCTGACTGCCCATTTTAAATCTGGAATCGCATTTTCAGCATGCAATTAAGGTAGGGTCTGGCTGTGTAGTTTAGGATAGCTCCGAACTCACAGCAATCCCCTTCCTCACCTCCTGATGGGATTACAGGCTTGCACCACCTCACCTGGTGTTGCCTGTATTTCCTATACCATTCTCTGCTTTATTTTCTCCACAGCACTATTCACTAGCTAATAATACTATGTTCCTTATCTGGTTAGTTTTCTTCCCAAAGCAAAATGTAGGCTCCATGAAAATAGAGAGATTCTGGTATATTTTGTTCATCAATGAATTCCCTCAGTCAGAGCAGTGCCCAGCAGACAGGAAGCACTCAGCACAGTGTGTTAAATGATGGATGGATGAAAAACTGCTGAAGGCCAGCACACGTCTAAAGTCCTAGGCACAGAACCCCTTTCTCCAAAGCAAAAGCAGCGACCATACTAACCTGCCATATTCCTTATGCAGAGTGACCAGAAAAGCACAGAGCTCATTAGCATGACAGCCTGGGAGTCCTGTAACAATGCTAATAATTACCTGCATGGAAGAAAAGTCACATGAGCTTGCAATTCAACTGAGAGGCAGCATTGTGTAAGAGAACTGACTTCTGGAGGGAGTCTCTGTGGGTCTGAATCTCAGCACCATCACTCTCACCAGCACTGTGACTTTGGGCCAGTGACTAATCCTGCCTTCTGAGGAACAACACAGTAAACTCAGGTAAAGTGCTTAGAAGAGTACCTGGCCCAGAGCAAATACCACATAAAATGTAGCCATACTATTTTAATTGCAGGGGAGCAGGCTGTGATGCATCAGTTAAAATGCAATATGTTAAAGAGCCTGCGAGCTAGAGTTCACAGAGCTCTTTTATAAAGCAGGCATTCAAGGGTATGATGAACCCTTCAACGTAACATTTCTTAGAAACATACTGGGCAGAAAGGAGGACTGTGACAAAAGTGCCTCAGGTCATGCTGATATGTGAACAGGGCAGAGGACAGGAGTTGCACCGGGATGCTTCTGCCTGGCAGCCTGTGCCCTCTGAGCCACACAGCCCAGGCTGAGTTGAAACTCCCTGGGCGGGCGTGGGAAGTACTCCTAATTCCTGAGGAGAGAAGCCACTGGGACAGTCCCAACCTCATCACATGATCACACCAAAACAGGCCCTGTTCAGGTGGCTATTCCAAAGCCAAGTAAGAAAGTCACTGGCAGAGCATGGTGGTAAAGCCTATAATCCCAGCATTCGGGAGGCTGAGGTGGGAGGCTTGAGTTGGCTTGGCTGAGGCTGTGTGAGTTCTAGGCCAGCTTGGCTACATAGTGAGTTCAAGGCCAGCCTGAACTGCATAGAAAGACCCTGTGTTTTTTGGGTTGTTTTTTTTTTTTTTGAGATAGGGTCTCACTATGTAGTGAGACTGACCTGGAACTCACTTGTGTAGCCCAGGCTGATCTCAAACTCAGTGATCCTCCTGCCTCAGCCTCTCAAATGCTGGGATTATAGGTGTGCGCCACCACACCCGGCTCTGAAAGACCCTGTCTTAAAAAAATAAATAAAAATAAAAAAGGCCATTAACAAAGAAAGTCAATGAAAAAGAAGGTGGAGGACAGAAACCATGTAACTTCTGAAGGATGCCTATGCTAATGGCAGAGCACCGGAGGCCTAAGTATATATTTTGCTTGTTTGTTTATTTATTTAATTATTTCGTTTTTTTCTCAGTATCAGGGATCAAACTCAGGGCCTTGCTCTTGCCAAGCAGGCGCAGTGCCACTGAGCTAAATCTCTGGTCCTATTTATTTTTGAGACAAGGTCTCACTATGTAGTTTAGGCTGGCCCTGAAGTCACTATGTAGCCCAGGCTGGCCTCAAACTCATGGTGATCCTCGGGCCTCAGTCTCCTGAGTGCTGGGATTATAGGGGTGCACTACTATGCCTGACTCTAAGTATATGTTTTATTTCATAATACACAAGACTCACTGAGGCAGGGCCAGTCACAGGAACTTACACTGAAGCTAAGTCTGGTGGTACTCATTGCACAAACTAACTCCTCCTTCTGTGGTCACGTTTATCCTCTCTGAGCAGGGCCTCTCTATTGCACATCTCTCTGCCCCAAGCAATTCTCCATATAACTGACATTTTGTTTAACTTGCTTTCACTGATCTCTCCCCATACTGGTTCCTGTTCTTCACTCTTGGACTCAGCCCCTCAAATCACTGAAGATATGAGTACAGCCAGATGCTTTCTTCTTTTTTTTTTTTTTTTTTTTTTTTTTTTTTTTTTGTACAGATCTGACCTAGAACTCACTATGTAGCCCAGGCTGGTCTCAAACTCACAGTGATCCTCCTGTCTCAGTCTTCTGAGTGCTGGGATTACAGGTGTGCACCACCATGCCCGGCTAGATGCTTTCTTATGACCAGTCATATAGCACTTTTTAAATAAAATGTAACAAGCTTGCGTTTTTAAACTTTTTATACATTCACATAAGAAAAAAATAGTGCTTCTAACTGTTTAGTGCATCTATTTCCTTTTGCAGCTAAGTGTCTTCTAGATTTTCACAGTAATAAATGTCCTCTTTGTGACTATTATGACATATGGCTCCTAAAAGAATGGTGGGAGGAGGTCAAGATGAGGGATGCAAGAGGGTGGAAATGGATTAAGATCGACTCTAGACACCTGGTGTGGTGGTGCATACCTGCCACGACCATGCCAGTAGAGTCTGCGTGACAATGCCGGTCACCTGGCAGAAACCAGACCAGAGGTATCTTCCCCACGGGGTTAAGCCTCCTGGAGGTCCTTGGCACACACCGCATGCAAAGTCAGCTGTGAAGAGAATAGCTGGCCTCTCTGCCTGCAGTTTGGGGACATTGGGTTCATCTATAATTCTGTTCTATTTTGTCTTTATTACTATTTGTTCATTATCTGTAGAATTGTATTCTGGGCCCAAGAAAGGTTAGGAACAATTAGATGTTCCTAGAGATGTGGAGATATTGAGGCACAAGAGGATGGGCGGCCAAAGTGCTGACCCTGAGCCCCGGACTGTGAAGTCCTGAAGGTGAACCTGAAGGTGACATGCTAAAGCCAGTCCTTTGTCTTACAAACTTCCCCCCTTCTGACTGCGTATAGGTGTGGTCTTACCTTGACTCAATGGTCTTAGTTATAGGTGTGGTCTTACCTTGACTTAATGGTCTTAGCTTTTGTGATGGTATATAGGTGTGGTCTTACCTTGACTTAATAGTCTTAGCTTTTGTGATGGTATATAGGTGTGGTCTTACCTTGACCTTGTGGTCTTAATTTTTACAGTACTATTGTCTATCTTATGCCTGCCTGTGACTGGAATCACTCTTGTGATGTGCCCTTGAAACTAGTATATAAACACCTGGAGTTAGAAATAAAATTGCAGCAGCATTGGCAAACTTCACCTCAGTGTTGAGTGCTTTTGTCTGACTGTCATCGCCGAACCTGCTCCCACCTTTCAGAGAACCTGTATCTCCTCGTGAAATCCCGTGTATGCTGCCCTACGGTCGGTAGCACATACCTATAATCGCAGGACTCTAGGAAGCTGAGGGAGGAGGACTGAAAGTTTGCACCCAACCAGGGTAACTTAGTTAGACCCTACCTTAAAAAATAAAAAGAAGCCTGGAGATATAGCTCAGTGCAAGGACCCTTTGGAAAGAACAAACTTTATATAAAGGCTCACCTTACCCTGGTCATTCTAGCCAGGCTGGGATAATATTCGTAAGCACAATGTGCCATCCACTGCTAGGTACGGCAAGTCCTAGTCACAACCAGAAAGAGCTGACAGTATGAAAGCACGAGCAAGGGTGTAAGAGATCTGGAGAAGAAAGGGGAGGGCCTGGCAAAATGCCAGGGTTTATCACTGTCATGGTGCTTTGCCTGACACAGTCATCATATACAGCAGTTCTGTGTGTTGTGTTACATCAGTATCCAAGCAGGTGGAGAGACTTATAAAAGGGACTCCACCTAAGCTCCTTTTGTTAAGTGACACAAAAGATCCAAGATCCAGGCTCCTGTGAGTTCCCAGAAGTTGGTGAGCTCCTCTACCTTGTCATTCTCTACTCCGTGAGAAGGGCTAACTTCAGCTTGGTTCAGCAGGACTGGGAGATGGGTCCGCATCACAGGCTCCGGACTAATGCTGCTGATAGCAAAATGATGGCAAAACCTGGAAAGTAAAGGCAGAGCTATTAAATCACCATCACCAGCCTTGCCAGATATATCAACTCACATAAGCAGCTGCTACTACTTTTTATAAGAACCCCTAAGAAGCAATAAAGAAGGAGTATATTAGAAAAAGAAAAAAATAGAAAGTCTTTGTAGATAGGGAGGGGTAGACGGGTTAAAGGTAGGGCAGGGGAATGGGGAAAAAAGGTACAAATTTCCAATGACGAATTATATTGTATACCTTATATTGTATATATTGTACACCTTAAATGTACCAATAAAATTAATTAAAAGATAAAGAAAAGAAAAAGGAGTTTAGACAGGACCAACGTTGAGGTTTCAGACATTTCAAAAGCTGGCTCATTAAGCATCTAAAATCACACATGCAGAGCTCACCAGTCCAGCTCTGGGAGTTTGGCTAAGAGCAGCTTTACAGAATTCCACTTCTCCCCAGTGAGATGGCTCAGGACAGTGAAGAGCTTCTGTGCACTGGAGTGCCTGGAATAGCAAAAGCTCATAGGTTAGAACTCCACCTCCTACAGCACATGTACTCTACACAGCCAGTTCTGAGGCATTCGAGCCAGGGGCATGTGACAGAGGCAAGGCTTCCAAACAAGCATCTCAGTAACTTAAACAAGACGTGGCACTGGTGCCCGATGACTGGTATGGGTAGAGAGGAAGTATGGTCCTAAAGCCCCTCCCAGTAGTATCAGTTTCTGATTCCCCAAAGGCACTGGCTACTGGCAAGCTGGTAGCGTGAAACAACTGCTGGCCCTTCCAGAAGCAAGAGCCCCATGTTACATAAGGGAAGGCATACTGAGGGAGAGCACACCCAAAATGCCTAGGGAACCAATTGTAAATGCTGAAGGCAGCCACTTACAATCTCTTTTGTTCCACAGATAATCCATCTTCCTGGATCACTTTCAAAGAGAGCCCTGAGTTATCCTGCTGTTGCCAGGGGGAGAAGACCTAAACAAAACAGAATATGAGCAAACACTTTAAACCCAACAACAGGATATGGAATCCACATGAGGATTTGATGGTGGTTGAAAATCTAGACTGCCAGTGAAGAGAAAAACCATTATAACAAACAAGTTTGCTTCAAAAATAAGGACAGAAGCAATTCTGTCTTATGTTTTTCAAAGCCAGAAATATTTCTCTTGAGTTCCTGTCCTCAGGGAGAAAGGTGTCAAGTAACACTGCTCTGGCAACTATGGCAAACTCTTCCCTGCTGACAGGGACAGGTGCTTCTGGTTCAAGTAACTCCTGTATCGGGAAGAGGGATGCCTGAAAAGAACGGAAAAGTCTGTCTCTGGGTTCCCAGATTAAAAGGACAAGCACAGAGAGGAAGGAAGGTCTACCAGGCAGTAATGGGCCAAGGTCAGCTCTTATCCTTCCACATTCTGTGAATCTGTCCTGAGAATGGGACACTGACTCCTCACAAACTGCTGCAGTCACACCTTTCCAAGAATTTCCATCTATCATGAGGCTGGCATCAGCCTGACTCTGGCTACTGCTTAGTCTTTAAGTGGGTAGTATAATTCTTGGGCAGCTCCCTCCCTTGTGCAACCTGTACTGAGCACCTTTAATGGACAGCTTGCCAGTGAGATCATCTGCAAGGGCCGGGCCTGTGATCCCTTGGGAAGAAGAGCATGGGGTGGGGTAGAGAGCTCTAGTCCCATAGTTAGGGCCACCATTCAGTAAGACAGATAAAAGGGAAATAAGTCTAATGGAGACTTAAAGGGGACAAAGATTTTCCTTAAAGTCTAAAAAGACTTTGTTTTAGTTTTGTTTATTTTTGGATAGAACTTGGGATTGAAGCTGGACATGGTGGCAAAGGCCTACAATATCAGCCTCAGAAGGCTGAGGCAGGAGGATTGCTGTGAGTTCAAGGCTAGCCTGAACTACACAGTAAAATCCTAGATCAAAAACACCAACACCACCCTCAACCGCTAAAGAATCTGGGAATTGAACCCATGGTTCTGCATATATTAGGCAAGTGCTCCATCACTTTTTCTGCATGTACTAAGCCAGCACTCTCCATCCATCCATCTATCTGAGACAGGGTCTTGTTATGTTGTTTAGTTCAGGCTGGTCTTGAACTCACTGTGTAGCCCAAGCTGGCTTTGAACTCTCAGTGATCCTCCTGCCTCAACCTCCCAAGTGCCGAGATTACAGGCGTGTGCCACCACGCCCAGCCACTTTTATTTCTGAGACAGGATCTCACTATTGCTCAGGCTGGCCACAATATATGATCCTTCTGCCTCAGCCTTTCAGCAGCTGGGAATAAGGCATGAGCAACCATGAACAGTTTCTTTAGGCTCTCACCCCTCACTGGCAAGAGCACCACTCCAGAACCCAAAGGGAGTACTGCAGCAGCCACTGCCTCCTCTCAGTCCTCTCAACTCTGTCTCATCAACTCACTGTTAGCACTTAGATACTGTCTTACTATCTAAATTGCTAAGGAGAAAAAACGTAGCAGTCACTTTACTGAGTAATGACTGATATTACCTCTGAGTAAAATGCTTGATATATCTTTGATTTGGGGAAAAGGGCAATCATCAGAAAATTGCTTGACCCATGGAAATGAATTGGGAGGTGAGGAAGCAATGAACTTTTGAAGTCGATGAGAAGGGCAGCCACAATACTGGTGGAATCCTAAAGAGAAAAGGAAGAGCAACATTAGTAAGAAAAGCCATTTGCTTGATTCCAGTCCTTAAAACTAGTGTCAGAACACATAGGGGTCAACGTCAGTGCAAGTATTTTTACAAGCAACTGTACACAAGAATGGCCATGCTTTCCAGTACTCAGTTCTATTAGAGATGAGAAGTACAAGGATCTTTTTTTTTTTCCTAAACTGACAATGACATTTCAAAATTTCTTTTAGGGTATTTAATCTTTTATTGGATGCATGACTTATAAATATTTTCTGATTCTGTGGGTTGTTTTTACTCTTTAAAAAATTTTACTTTATTTTTAGATACCAGGGATCCAACTCAGGACCTTGTACTTGCATGGCAAGTGGTGGTGCCACTGAGCTAAATCCCCATGTTGTTTTTACTTTTTTTTTTTTGTGAGACAGGATCTCCCTTTGTAGTTGAGACTAACCTGGAGCTCACTATGTAGCCTAGGCTGGTTTTGAACTCACAGTGATCTTCCTGCCTCAGCCTCCCAAGTGCTAGGATTACAGGCATGCGCCGCCACGCCTGGCCTATGTTGTTTTTACTCTTGAGGGCATCCTTTGATGCAGAGGTTTAAATGTTTTGTTTTCATGGTACTGAAACTGAACTCAGGACCTATAACTGAGTTAAGCACTATCACTGAACAGATGGGCTCATAAAGTTGCCAAGGTTGGGGTAGTGCCCTGCCCTCCCAAGTAGCTGAAATTACAGGCATGTGCCACCGTACCCCAACAGGATTTAAAAATTTTCACCCTGGTATTGGGAATTGAATCCACAACCTTTGCTATAGCCCCAGCCCGTTTTTAAAAACCTTGAAACAGAATCTTGCTAAATCACTAAATTGCCCTGGATGACCTCCAGCTTGTGATCCTCCTGCCTCAGCCTCCCCAGAGTGCTGGGATTACAGGCAGGGGCCAGGAATATCTGAATTTTGTGATAGTGACTGCATGAATTATACAGCTGTCAGAGCTTTAAAAAGACAGAGTTGATAAAGTATACTGCAATGAACTGTTTTTATTTACTTATTTTGTGCTGTTTTGAGACAGTCTCACTATGTAGGTTCGGGCTGGCCTCAAACTAGGATGGCTTCAAACTAGGATGGCAATCCTTTTCCTGCCTCAGCCTCCTAAATGCTGAAATTACAGGTGAGTGCCCCAAGCTCTGGCCATGAATTGTTTTTAAAATAAAAAAAAATCATTAAGTGATGTAATTTGACAAAATTTTTCTTTAAAATTTCTAACTTTAGAAAAGTTTTCCCCCTAGTGATTTACTAAACATTCATTTTTTGGGGCCGGGGATTTAGCTCAGTGGTGCTGCCACCTGCCTTCCAAACACAAAGTCCTGAGTTTGATCCCCAGTACGAAAAAAAAAATCCACTTGGTAATCATTTTCATATTCTTGGTACTTATGAAACTTAAAAATTATTTAAGTTCAATCTATCAAATGCTTA